TGACTAGCAATTGCTCTTATTGAGATTCCATGCGATATATCAGGGCATACGAATCTGGAAATCTCGATTTAATAATGAGCATGTCTATTCAACCCGATACAGCCCACTCATCTTCTGATAAATGATTAGTCCTTTTCTCTCTTGCATGCCAGTCCTTTGAACTTTACCCAATTTCCGGCTTGGATTTTATGCACCTTCCACATTAGTATCACTTCAGCTTGTGCATGCTATTGCAAATGGCGTTGGATGCCAACCTCTTCGATTGTGGATCCCTAATATCAGTTTAGAGTTGGACGACTTGCGACAACAAGTACACCGTGTTCCATCATTAGAAATCGATCCTTTTGGCCTTCAAGGTTTCTTGTGACCTCGCTTGATATTCCACATGTTCACAACATTGAATCATAAAATGCCTAGTTTCGATATATCTGCTCGGTACTGAACCCCAATAAATAGGTGTAATTTATCAATATCCATAGAGCGTATGCATCTACGTTTTTCTTTTCGCTTATTCTTCGCATAATGAAATAAATACTAAGAGACATGACCTACAACAAATCATATTCCTTTTTCCCACAACTTCATGTGGCTAAATGCTTCGGGCCTAATCTATGATCTGTTCTTTTGTTTGACAGGGCTGGCTGTAATTGCTGTGATGCTGGTTACTACCTGCTTGATGTCTCTTGTGATAGTTCTGTGCTGGCACAGGAGCATCTTTTTGGCTGTTTGTTTCATCCTCTTCTTTGGAGCGATCGAGGCACTGTATTTCTCAGCATCCCTTATCAAGTTTTTGGAAGGTGCTTGGGTCCCTATTGCCCTCTCAATTATCTTCATGGTAATCATGTGTGTGTGGCACTACGGTACGCTCAAGAAGTATGAATTCGACATCCAGAATAAGGTCTCCATCGATTGGCTCCTGGGTCTCGGCCCTAACCTAGGAATTGTCCGTGTGAGAGGCATTGGTCTCATTCATACTGAACTGGTATCAGGAATCCCAGCCATCTTTTCACACTTTGTCACCAACCTCCCTGCATTTCACCAGGTTAGCCATGTTTTATTTACTTTTTCTGCTGTTAAGATGTGTGGTAGACATTATCCAATACAAGTTTCCTTGATGTGCTCAGTAAACATATCACACTTGGTGGTCGTTAGCATATTAATCTCGGTATTAGTTTCAAAACGGGAAAGGCTGTACTTAAGTCTGATCACATGCTGCAATTGCTCCAGGTCCTTGTGTTCCTCTGCATCAAGTCGGTGCCGGTGGCATATGTCAGGCCAGAGGAGCGGTTCCTTGTGGGCAGAATTGGCCCAAAGGAATACAGGGTCTATAGGTGCATCGCACGGTATGGGTACCACGACGTTCACAAGGATGATTTAGAGTTTGAGAAGGACCTAGTGTGCAGCATTGCTGAGTTCATCCGGTCAGGCATCTCTGATCCCAGCGGCACGGCAGAACGATCCGAGAAGGATGATAACAGAATGGCTGTCGTCGGAGCTGGAATACGATTGTGTGAAGAGGATGCTGACCCAGAAGATGCAGCTGGCCCTTCAGGGTCAAAGGAGATACAATCAACTGTCACGGCAAGGAAAAAGAAGGTGAGATTTGTGGTGCCTGAGAGCTCAGATATGGATTCCAGCGTGAGGGAAGAGCTGCAGGAGCTGATGGAAGCCCGAGAAGCAGGCATGGCTTTCATTATGGGGCATTCCGACGTCAGGGCAAAGAGTGGATCTGGTTTGATTAAGAGACTCGTCATCGATGTCGGGTATGATTTCTTGAGGAGGAATTGCAGGGGTCCGACCTTTGCAGTGAGCATTCCTCATGCATCTACATTGGAGGTGGGGATGGTATACAATGTCTAAATTCTATCGTAACAGTGATGTACATCGATGTTCTTAGTTTAAATTAGTTCGGGGATTCGGTTCCTCAGTTTCGGGCTGTTGATTTCAGAAGCGTCTTCTTTTGCGGCATGAAATGAGATCCTGTTTTGCAGATTCTTTCTGTGCCATGTTAAAATGAGCAAACCCTGTCGTGTAGGTTGGAAACGACGAAGAGAACGAATCCAGCAGCAGATCTCGCAGAGTAGTTTCATTCGATCACCCTGCACGATGAGTCGGCCAACAGGATGTTGGCCATACCATTTCGTGCGGGTATCACCGTGCTGAAGAATTTGATTCGTGTGGTCAGAGCTTCCTCCAAAATATAGAACTCCGATGTCGTCTTCCTTCTCCGGCTTAATGTGAACATCCAAACCTTAATGTGAAACACAGAAGAAGCCCGAAGGAGCATAAACCTTATCTTCTTCTTCTCTTGGAAAATCCCACGGGGCTCCACCATGCAATAATATATCATCTCTTTCCCTTTTGTTCTTCCTTTCTAGATGATTATACAGTTCGCCACTCCAAGAGGAATTTCCACAAGGAAGTAGGCCATTTCACGTAATCTGATCACAGGACTACTGATGGACCTGGAACAATTAAAAGAGTGATTCTTCATGCCTACCCGCAGTGATCCTCGGAAGCACTAGGGAAGAAGAATAACAAATATAATAAGCTCTTTTCAGGGCGTGATTTACGTGGGAACAACCGAAGGCAGATATGCTTTTCACAGTGATTCCTAATTATTTATTTGCATGCTAATCTTATCTACAACTTTTGTATTCCCACTGCTAACCGCCGGTGATCATTGGTTTCTTGCCTGAGTTTTGGCCGCGAGCAATGATCATAATATAGTAACAAAGACGATGAATGGGTTATGGTTGGATTCCCCAAGCAATGATCTGTAGGATGCATCTGCCCATCTTATTTAATCGCAAAATCAAATCTTTTAGTCGATGAGAGTATGCTTTCGGGGCGGAAGTGGTTTGTGTCGTGCAGCAAGAATCTCATCCGGCTGGGTCGACAGATTCTTCTGGAGTTGTCTCATCCGAGTCATCTCTCGTCGCCGTCTCTCGGTAGATCTCCTGTCGTGCGTGGAAGCCTTCGGGTGTTTGGTGCTTCCTGTGCAGCCTTTTCATTTCCTGCATCGTTTAGCTTACGTTAACAGCTAAAGAATACATGACGCATTAACCATGTCAGTCGACTTCCGCCCATTATTCCTTCCAGACTAACAACAGCAGAAGGCGATTGCCTCCTTAAATATCACACCGCCAATCGATCTCCCGTGTCCTCAACCCACTCGCAAACCAGAGCAGGAGCCATGGCCAGCAGGCCCAAGAACACCATCTTGGAGAACTCCTCCGTGATAGCCATGAACTTCGTGAGGATGTCGTCGCTCGCGCTGGCCAACCTGACTCTCGGGCCCGGTCGCGGGAACCACGACGTCGCCGTGCTGCCGCAGCCCCCAACAAAAAAACCGGCGGTGGACATGCGGCAGACGGAGCCCAAGCCGCGCACCATCACGTACGTGATGCAGCCGGCCGGCACAGAAGGCGACGGCGGCGTCGACGCACGAGCCCAGAAGTACATCGAGAAGGTTCGCTCCAAGAACCGTGCCAATTATCCTGGTTCTTCACCTGATGTCATCCCTCCACCTCCCCTGCCCAAAAAGCAGGCCGCTCGCTAGCGTAGATTTCGTGACTGTAATAAGAGCCGGAGGAAGAGGACGGTCGCGACGGTGCTTGCACGTTGCTCTTCTTCTGGTTTTCCCTGTTCGATCTTAGCGTCTGTGTCGGTTTGATGGGTGTTCGATCTGGGAGAGATTAGAATGAGATGGGATGGTACGGTTCAGAGTCTGTACTACTGTGGATGTGGATAATCCGAGCAAATAAACTTGTCACGCTTCTCAATTGTACTTCCTTCCCTTACCACCGGAATGAGTACTGCCAACTGTTCATGCCTGCTTTTGTGCGGGCATATGCCGCTGCAGAATTCCAGGATGGTTGCAGTGGAAGCTGCAATTGCCTCTGGGGACGTCTGCTGCAGCACAAGTAAAGTTGGAAGTGCTACTTGGACTTGGATAATCTGCTGAAAATAATATAATTGCATGAAGGTGGGAGTTTTACTTTGGGAGATGGAAAACGACAAGAAAAAAACTCCTAATTCTGTGTAAAATTATAACAAAAATATCTATTTTACAAGCGGAATATATTCCTTGTGCCGATTTGCAGAGGACACCTTAAGGTGCACTGCAATTATTGTTGGAACTCAATCCTTCAAACTAGTGGCAGCTGAAAAGGACGAGGAGGAAAAATCTCGTCTGCAGTGCGTTTCCCCAAAGCCACCCCATAACATGCTTTCGTGCAGGACCACCAAGTCTGATGAACTGTTAGTGCTGTGAGTAAAGGCAGAGACAAAAGAGAGGCAACTGCTTCGGCCACCAGTTGCAGCAGCGCAGAAGAAAGTGGATCTCGCCTACATTTGATCGTTCTTGACGATGACCGCTTGCTTGTCTCTCAATTAAAAACATCTGGGCTTGCAGAATAACTTTGCGAGTTTCCATTAAAGTGTAAAGTAGATAGATGTAGCTCTCCGGTGTGATCAATGTTGCTGCATGCCCTTCGATGTTTGTGAAAGATCACTGGGGCTCGAGGTGCTCATTATATACTTGGTTAGGTTCATCATCTTGTTGATTATGAAGTGGAGTAGGATTGGCTTTGACTTTATGCAATCGGGTTGCTCATCGCATCAAATTCCACTTTGTCCCATCGAATGATATGATCTGTCTCGGTTGCAGCCCAACATTTGTTGCTGTTCTCCAGTGGTCTTGGCATCTTTCGAGAAAAGGAGGGGTCGATTGACGGAAGAGAAAGAAAGGGTCATGTCGACCTCGACTAGCAGAAAACTACACAGCAAAACAATCGATGTAGCTTCGAGTTAGAGAATAGGGTCAGCAGAGGGTGCATGGAGAGCAGAGGAGGACGGATTGAACGAATCCGGAAGTGACGGCATATACTGTGGAATGTGCTATGGTCCTTTTAATGGAGGATTGAACGAATCCGGAACTCAAACATGGAGGATTGAGTTCGTTTATACAGTATAGTCCACCATCTGTGATGGGCGTGAAGTTTTGTTTGTTTGGACATAAACACACATCATGTCATCAACACCATGAACTATTATTTACTTACTGCTTACTTATTAGTAGCATTGGCACTCATCGAACATCACAAACCACAAAGCCAAATGTAAGAGACGAAAATGCCAGTAGCTGGCGACAGTCCATCTCTTGCCATATGAAATCATTTATTCGTAGCACGCCAACTTAAACCATCTGCCCCCTTCCACGCGGTAGTGTGTAGGTCTCTCTCCATCATCTCATGCAACACTGCACGGCACAAACAGAAGAAGAAGAAGAAGAAGAAGAAGAAGAAGAAGAAGAAGAAGAAGAAAGTCGTGAGATGACGGAAGAGAAGTGGAGCAGCTGTTGGAGCACTCCGACAGTCTACGTTTATGCATGGCTGCAACATCACGTACCGGCTGCAGTCGACGTCGGGGCTGACGGGCATGCTGAGATCTATCTTGCAGAAGGGAGGGAGGTGCTGCACTCGCTCCGGCTTGACGCCGAACGAGGGGCCGGTCTGCTTGAGGCACTCGCACAACTGGCGGCGCGACGCGACGGTGGAGGCCATGCGGTTCAGCGCCCGGGCGCTCTCGCAGCACCGTGGGCTGGGATCTGCCCCGCCCTGTCCGATGAGGTACGACCCGCAAGGGATGAGAGCTGAGACGGCGTCGTTGCAGGTGATTGCCTCGGCCATGGTGTTGCACGCCAGCAGCAACGCAAAAGCCACCAACATCACCCTCAGACCGTACTGGGCTTTCTTCCCTTCCATTGGTTTGGTTTCTTTCTTCTGCTAACGATCGATCGTCACCACAAAAAGTATTCGAGCTCGAGTGTTGCCGAAGAGAGACGGACGGGGATGGCTAGCTACTTGTAGTCGTTCGGGTCAAGGGTGTTAGCGGTGAGCTCTTAATGCAATTGATCGAGTGGGCCTTTTTTGTGAGGTTTGTTCGACCGATTTGTGGTTTGCCTCTGGTGGGAATGGCCACGAAGCCGAAGACAAAAGGAAACCCATAGATTGAATGCGTTGAGCAGTCCTGTGGACTATATTAATGTCCAACCGAGATGATGCAAATGCAATCTCTTAGTTGGATCTTTACTCTCTTCTTCTTACTAAAATCAATGCAAATGCAAAAGAGAGTCTCTCATGCACATGGATGGATGGCCCTGAGAGGTAGGGGTAGATTCACATCTAAGCAGGTTAAGAAGAGTAAGGATCAAAAACCATCTCCGGATCTTATCACAAGAATTGTCTATCACTGGAGGATTGTTCTTTTCATTGATGAAATCGATCGTAAGGATGATGACGATCCGAAGGACGTGACTATTTTCTATCACATTACCTCAGAATGCTATAACCATAATCTTGATTTGAAAGGCAAAACAAAAAACAGACAACTTTACAGATGGGACAATAATGCAAATGATCCCTGAAAACTAGCTTTACACACCGGATGGCATCAGGTTGAATTAATGAACGCTTGCACTTTCAGGGTTTCAGCTCGAGTTACTGGCACGGGAGTGGACACGTCGAACTTAGGCCTAAGTGTGTCGTGACGACTCCGTCTTGTTCTAAGATGTGCGGAGAGCAGCTTCGGATTAACCTGTGGTGGCGAGGAAGCTGACAGGAACAAGAGGAAGGAGATGGGAAACAACAGTAGTGTGAAGCCATCAGGTGGGCTGGTGCTAAGGGAGGTACTGGTAGTCCCTTTCTTCTCCCATGAGTTGGAAGGCCACAGGGAAAAGACAAGTTCTCGAGGGCGGATAGAAGAAGGTAAAAGAGAGAGAGAGAGAGAGAGAGAGAGCCAAGAAGAGGGATGGATGGATGGATGGATGGATGGTGGTGGTGCACTTTTGAACCACCACATCACGGGACATCCTTGATGCCTTTTACATTCTTCGCCTCCCGGCTCTCGCAGAATCATGCACAAAGCTGCAGCGTCCACAAGGAACAGACGATAAAGCGGAGACACGGCACATACAAATCTCCACTGCCCATCTAACTGTGCCCTTTTCATGATTGGATAGCGTACCGCTGTCTAAATTCTCGGAAGCCAAACCTCTCTTCTTCCCTCTTGCAGATCCAAATCTCCGATGATTCAAGAAAAGACCATCTTTCTCTCGGTAGCGACTCGCTACTCGAGGCTCGAGATCATTGCCTTGGTTCGTTCCAGAGCTTGGCTTGTCTACTAAGTTTTCTCTATGGTTTTGTGTCTCAGACATCGTCAGAACTCATGCTCATCTCCTCAGACATCTTTAGAACTCATCACCTTCCCCCGTTCCATGTGTTCTTGAGCTTACCAACTGTCATTTCTAAGTTACTTTGATTTGGCTACCTGTTCTCCAACCAAAGATCGTGTCTTGCAAACATCCGATGATGAACGTTACGTACCACCTTTGCCATCTTCCCACAAGGATGCAGTGGCAATTCTTCCATTGCCTGAGCCTCAGCTCCTCTTTCAGCTAGTACCCGCTAGGGCGAGCCCGGTGGTCGAAATGGCCTTCTGCTTCCCGGTCCTGAGGCTGGGCAAGAAGAGCAGGGCTGGTTCGATCACTTCTCCTCCTTCCTTCTCCCCCTCCTCTCCTTTTCCTTCTTCTTCTCGGTGGCCCAAGAGGAACCTCTTGCCCTCCGAAATGGATATCATGGAAAAGAAGAGGTGGGACAGCTTAGAATCGTGGTCGATGCTGTTGGAACCCGGGAATGCCGAGAGCTCCGAGGCCAACGCGGGAGGGGAAAGAGAGGAATGGATGGCTGATCTTTCACAGCTCTTCATCGGCAACAAATTTGCTTCAGGGTCCAACAGTAGGATATACAGAGGGATCTACAAGCAACGGGCGGTGGCCGTGAAGATGGTAAGGATTCCAGAGCAGGACGAGGAGAAGCGAGCGACGCTGGAGCAGCAGTTCAATTCCGAAGTCGCCTTCCTCTCCCGCCTTTATCATCCAAACATAGTGCAGGTTAGTCCCAATCCATATTGCTCGATTAGGTAAGCGACACTAGTTGTGATTTGGGTACCGCTAGAGTTGGGGATCGTCCATGGTCTGTGATTTGAGCCCGTCGCATCTCACTCTTGTCTTTGTAGTTCATAGCAGCCTGCAAGAAGCCTCCCGTGTACTGTATCATAACAGAGTACATGTCTCAAGGAACTCTGCGGATGTATCTGCACAAGAAGGAGCCGTATTCGCTGTCGACCGAAACCATTCTCCAATTAGCCCTCGACATCTCTCGGGGAATGCAGTATCTGCATTCGCAGGGCGTGATTCACAGAGATCTCAAGTCTCAAAACTTGCTCCTCAACGACGTGAGGCGAGTCAAGGTTGCTGATTTCGGCACCTCCTGCCTGGAAACTCAGTGCCGGGAATCCAAGGGGAACATGGGAACCTATCGCTGGATGGCCCCGGAGATGATCAAGGAGAAACCATACACCAGGAAGGTCGACGTGTACAGCTTCGGCATCGTCCTCTGGGAGCTCACCACCGCTCTGGTTCCGTATCAAGGAATGACACCGGTGCAGGCTGCATATGCCGCTTCGGAGAAGGTAAGATGCTTATGTTATGGTTGGGAGTTGGAGATTTAGGGGCTCACGTACGCTGCCGGGTTGCGTCCTTTTCAGAGTCTGCGACCGCCGCTGTCGACGACCTGTTCGCCTGTGCTCAATAATCTCATCAAGAGCTGTTGGTCGGCGAATCCGGCAAGGCGACCGGATTTCAACTACATCGTGTCGGTGTTGGAGAAGTACGATGAACGCCTCAAGGAAGGCCTCCCGGTTCTGGTGCAGCAGGAGCTGCGAATCGGGAACTCCCTCTTCAAGCTCCTCAAGGGCTGCATTGCAACCACTTCATCCATACCCGTGCAGGCCTGACCGCAAGTTTGAAGCGGCAGTATGCGTCTCTCGTCCTCTCTTGCTTCAGTGTATGACGTCTATGAACGATGGGTATTGTAATCCTGCAATGCTGTCTTTTTGCTCCTAGTATTCCGCAATCAATCCAGAAATCAGATGAACTGCAACTTTTCTCATTCATGTAGATCGAGCACGCTCAAAGATAACGACAGAATTCTTTCTAGCGTATCTTAGAGAAGATGAGGGAAAATATATAAGGAATTTATGTGATAAGATGTACGAGAAGAATCATACTCATACATGAGATTAAGTCGACCACCTCGATCATCTATCGAACTCTGAACTGATTTGATGGGAGATGTCCTACGAGTAATGCGAATCTGATGTTCTTCTTCTTTGTGGTGACTTTTAGAGTCGAATATGCCGGTCAAAGTGATCTATGAATCGACCATCGACCATTGAACTCAAATATGCCGGTCAAAGTTATCTACGAGTAATGTGCATCTTTTCTTTGCATGGTTTGTTTTATATCATTAGATAAATTGACCATTGACTCGTTCCAATTCAGCAGCATATATTTGAGTTGTGCTTTCACCACTGTAATAATTCTTCAGGTTGATGTGCTGCTTTCACCACAGTCGCCCCTTAGAATCTAAGAAGAAGATTGAGTGAGAGTCAACCATTGGTAAGGCAATGAGCTCTTATCATCACGTAGGACCAACCAGTTCTGGTTCAGTGAGTACCGATGGAAGAAAGCAGCACCCACTGATCATTTCAACACCATAAAAGCTGATAGATACATCAAAGATAATGTTTGGATTCAAAGTCTTCGTATGAACTGGTCAATGAAGCAGCAGGAGCCACGATGATGTTCAAAATAATGCATGGTAATTAATTCCACACTGCAGAAGACGGCATTATCTCTCTCTCTCTCTCTCTGAGCGTGTGTTCTTTGTAGCAAGGACAAAAGGAGCTTTGAGATTGTGAAGGAGATTTTGTTACGCCTTTTAGCAACTGGATGACCGGAATGGGCATCACAAAGAAAGGAAAAGAGGGCCACGATCGAGAGCATATATGCCATGGCAAGCCCAAAAAGAAGAGGTGAGCAAAGGTTGGTGGCTATTTGCTTCTTTGTGATGCCAACCCATATGCAACGCAACAACTACTTGACAGTGCCCGCATAAAAAAGCTTTGTAACACAGTAGGATTCGATCAGACTAACATTTGGCTTTCGAGAACAGAGTAAAGCCAGGAGAAAACTGAGAGCAGAGCTCCAAGCATCGAATTGACATAGAGACACTACTAATTGCTCCATCGTCCGACGAACGGAGCGATGATTCCCAATCATAAGGCTGCATTGTGTGTCTCTGCATCACAGACTGAAATCTTATCTATAAAACTCTTCACGTTCGATCAAAAAATTTCTCGAAATATTAATGAATGACGCAGATGGTGTTGAAACAGAAACTTATTATGACTTGTTTCTTCTTAAAATCTGTCCTTCTTTACATGAAGCAGAAGGTGTTTGGTTGCTGATCACTACGACAAAATGATGAAGATACACAATAACAGAGAGAGAGAGAGAGAGAGAGCTTTCACCCGGACGACAAAGAAACGAGAGAGTAATCAAAGAAAGAAGACTGAGAAAGCATCGGAACTGACCTTTCCAATGTCCAAAAATCCTTTCTTTGTCATCTCTATCTTCCCATTGGCTCAATTCCAAACTCCCCAAACTCTTGCCCCGATAAAACTCATGAATCTCCTCACGGAGCTCTTGCCTCCATTGCCGTTGGGGTTGCTGACACCATTCGTGCCCTCTTCCTCCTCCTCCTCGTCATCGACGTCCCCTTCTTTATCATCGTCGTCGACGCTACCATCATCATCATCCCCCGAGTGCTCACCCTCCGACGCCAGGAACCCCTTCGGGTCCACCCTCGAGCTATCGTCCTCCTCCTCCGCCACAGCTGCCGAGTTGGCGATTTTCCTCCCACGACGGCCGTTGCGCTTCCGGCGGCGGCCACCACCCCCGCGCTCGCGCTCCCTTGACTCCAACCTTTCCTCCACGGCGTCGATGATGCGGTGGATGACGTGCCGGTTCGGCGACGCGTCCCACCGCGCCCAGAAGCTCTTGTAGCAACAGAAACACTCGCAGCCCAGCTCCGGGGGGTGCGGCCGTAGCCGCCGCCGCCGCTCGCTGCCCCTCTCATGGCCACCGCCGCCTGAGAGCAAGTACGCCAGAACCTCTTTCTCCTCGGCCGTCAGCGCCGCCACCAGGGCCAACAACGCCGCAGGGATCGCCGCCAGGTGGTCCCGCGGCGCCGTTCCCGGCGGTGGGGTCGGGTGGATCCTCCGTCCTTTCCCGTTGCTGAGCTTCTTCATCTCCCCACCAGCAAAGAAGGCAAAAGTCTCAGCGCCAAGGCAAGCGAGGGGGGGTAATAAAGACGGTTCCTTTTGAGTTCGAGGTTTGGTGGGGGAGAATGGAGGAAGAAGGATGGGTGGTTGGGAACAGGGATTGTTAGCTCTTAGGTTGCTGTTGCGGCATCCAATACAACAGTAACAGGCTACTGACTGGTTTGTACCATGTTCTTTTTGGGAGCTGCGGTGGAAGAAGGGAATCAAAGGTGGGGGGATGCCGGGAGGCTGGTTATAAGCACCAAAGAGGCAACGACGGGAGAGAGTGGGAGAAGAGGAGAGGAAGTCAGGTGATGCACGGAAGACAAGAATGATCGATCTACTGGTCGAGAGATGGAGATGGAGAGGGAGACCCACTTTGTCGTGTCAGGGTATAAAAAAATGCAGACTCTTTGACTACGATGATTCGGTGCGGTGGATTGTGGAATGGGTCAAAGAATAGTGACCGGTGAAAGAGTTTGCATTTGACACTTTATCCAACCCGACCTACGCTAGAGAGAGAGAGAGAGAGAGAGTGCTAGTTGACCGTTGATTCCAATCCAGAAACACATGAGGAAGCAGCTCCTCATCCATCTCTCTCTCTCTCTCTCTCTCTCGCAAACCAGTCGGGTGACATCTCTGGCTTTGATGCGCATATGAACAATCGATATGGACGGGGAGAACTGTCGAGAATCAGTCATAAACTCAGATGATTGAGATGCAAGCTGTTTTCTCATTTAGCAAGTCCGATTGCAGGGTTGACACTATCTGATGCGTTTATCAGCTCTTTAAACACTCCCATCTACTATTCTTCCAACTTTCCTCGGAACACAAAAACACGAATGGCTCAACGTCGCCAAAACCACAACAGAAGAAAGGAATAAAGTTTTCCAGGTTACATGCAACAATCGTTTAAGTCATTCAAACAAAGATTCAGAAAGTTAGAACGTTGTCTTTTTCCTTCTCTGATGGAATATGATGTGTAGTGAAGAAGAATTAATTCGCCTGTTAACCATTTCACCGAGTGTCACAGAAGAAGGGTGCTTTTGTGACTCCTCCATGGATAACCATAAATAGTTGCAGAACGTAAATGATAAGGGAGCGAGGCGCAGAGTTGCTTCTTTGATGGGCAAGCATGGTCGTCGTCAAAAGACACCAGTAATTTTCACGATGAACTCTTCAGGCGTGTCCTGATCCATGATTCAAGGTACCTCAACTCTTCGTTGGCGATTGAATGGCCGACATTAGGATAAGCCTACAACAACTCAACAAGATAATTGACTGACGTAAGGTCATGTGTAAATTACTTAAAATGTTGGATAAAGTTCAGACAGAAGCAAAAAAGCTCAGCAAAGAACAGAAATTACCTTAAACTCACAACTCATACCAGCTTGTTCCAGAAAAGGAGGTCCTGCTTGCCCCGCCTCAAATAGCACGGTTCGGTCAGCCAAACCATGAGACCACAGAATAGGTGTCTGCAAAGATCTCGGATGATCATATGTTACATGCAAAGGGTCAACATAAGTACACTTAAATATATGGAATAAAGGATCAGTATTTACCAAATTAAAAAAAAAGGTGTAAAAATAGTAGCTTAAATGCACAACAGGATAGTCTTTTTAAGTATGCCACCTTTTGATTCACAAATTCAGTTTGCACCAGCCCCCACTAAAATGGAGACATGAATGCTGCAGTGGTCTAGTTGACCATTTTTATAACTCGTCCTATAATATGCCACTAGTACATCCATTTCATCAATCGCCAATTTGCATCAGGCTATGAGGCTATTTTCAGACATTAACGACCTTTATTTATTATTGACAGGCACATACTGTTGCGTATGAAACTGGAGTAACTAAAAGAGGTAACTAAGCTTAGTACAGTTCATAATGGTTGAAAATTACACAAATGATCTTCGGAAGTAAACTTACTACAGGCCGCCTTTTCCGTTCATATTAACTAATAGTTGGATTAAATACAGTTAACTTAAATACTCATCAGCACTAATAGTTGCACAAATATATATAAAGCAGTATCCAAGTATCTAGTATCTACACCCACATGCTCGGTTTAGTGTAATGAGCTGGAGACCAATCTAGACTGGGCACATGGAAATTGTCATCTCAGTCTTCTAGATAGTCACATTATATTTTTACAACAATCCTTTTAGGCATAGTGGTTCAAAGCCTTAGAAAGAAAGTACTGCAAGTATGACAATGTAAATTCAAATCAGATGTTTTCATTTAAACAGAAATATAAATGTTGGCATATTGTTACAATACATTGTAGAAAGCCCCAACTCTCGGCGCTTCTTTTCTGGTTATAATAACCATCTTTGTTCCCAATTTCAAAGTTGAGATTTTCAGTTTTATGGCATGCCCTCAAAGTTATATATGGTAACATGGATCGGCACAAGGGCCATGCCATCCTGCACAAGTGCTATGCCAAAAGTCACCACTATATTTAATTAGCATGCTTGGTATATACACCGAAATAGAATCTATGACCTAAGATGTGTCAAATTGTTGCCCTTGATGGGTCAACACAGTTAGGATGTTGGCTCTTGCCGTAAGTATTTCTAGATCCTAGCACCTCACCACTGGCGATATATAATTGATCATTTCATAGTAATAATTTGATGCTATCTTGCAAACTTACATATGCTGGTCCAAACTTGAGTAATGGACACAATTCTTAAATAGGTACAGTTGGCATCTATTTAGCAATACTTATCATAGTTTGGTGTTTGTTACAACTTACAACACAAGTAGTAATAATGGTCACATCGGCAAATGAAGTAAACCTGAGAGAAATTATTCTAAACATGCTAGTGAAGTGGAAATTGAATAGTTAACTACCTTTTTAGCTTCAGGAGAAATGCGTGCTATTATTGATGAATTAAAAGGAACCCATCCGCTGAAGACTGCACCGCCTCCTAGAGTTCTCGGATAAAGCAACACACTAGCTAATGTCAAGGCACCTACCAAACAATCATTAGTCTGTGAGCAGCTTCCATGCTTTGAAAAGTTTGTACTCGCAACCCGATCAATAAGTAGCAAAATTCTCTATACCTCCTTGGCTAAATCCACATATAAATATGTTTTCAGGGCTTATTCCATTAGCAATCTCCTTGTCTATCATGGCATGCACGGTCTGAACAGCTTTAAGGACACTATTTTCATCTTTCGGAGATTCCTGATAGTTGGTGAAATCAGAATGCAGTTCAGAGTATGCACTACAGTAATTATCGTAGAAAGTTGTGACAATTTAAGCTAAAAGAAAAGGGACAGCTCAAGAATTAATAATTTTACCTCCAGATGTGGAGGACAGCAGATAGAAAGCAATGGAAGGATTGTAATCCAATTGATAGACAGAAAAATTTTAGAAAGAGAAAGATGTTGGGCTTGTGTCAACCAAATGCATAGAAACATATTATCACTAGGAATAACTAATAGCATCCATATGGGCAAGCAGAAAACTAACTGAATATATACACAAAGGTGATCATCTTAAATGGGGATCCTGTGTTGCTTTAAAATTAATTCTTTTTTCAGAAATATAGGATCTTGTTACTTGAACAGAGAGAACGCTAATTTGTATCAATTGAAAGAAGTAATATTTTTTTTTTGTCCAACATACTTCTTTTATTTTTTTGAAAAGAGAAGAAAAATAAATGCTCATTCCTTCCCTTTTTTTTCTCTGGAGGCAATTTGAAATTCAGTGTGCCCCTACCCAGGGATCACCCTTCATTTAATTAAGAAATTGGAATTAGAAAAACATAGGAACCCCACCAGTGGAAGAGAAAGGAAGTTATTTGAGCTATGATTTAAATAACAAAGACATTTAGCGATTTAATTTCTTTTAGCCCCTCCTTTGAGTGTATATATATTATCATGTCATTCAAATTGTACTGTAAACTAAAGCATTTATCATAAACACCCAATTCTCATCAGCAAAGAACCACAAAGTATAAAATATAGATTCCAGAGCAATGTGATATCACAAGTTAAAATCTCCAGTGCTTCACATTAAAACCAACATATAGTTCAAAGCAATAAAAACAGAACAAGAATTTCAAAGGTTCATGGTAAAAAGGAGAGAATACCAAAAAAATTAACTGCCATTAGATTTAACATAGGTGAATGACCTAGCAGCTTAGATTACTCATCAATCACCTCATCCAGCTTTGAGTTCTTCCTGTTCATACTTCCCAAGTTGCTGTTCTGGTAGTTTTCTAGAGAACCCTAATAATGCATTAGTTGGCCATCTAATGTAAAGGAAGGAGTGATTATATCTTTACTGACTTGTGATGTAGTACTTTCTCATTGGCATAAGAATAAAATATTGGTAGTGTCACATTTTTTTAGCATAGCGATGCATTCAAAATGGTCACTCCAACTAATCCAGGAGCTCATATGGTTTCTTTAACTTCAACTAGTACATGTGATCCTTATCAGGCAATAAATGAGTCAAGATTAGCTGATTTAAGATGCAGTTGCACCAAGGTAACTCCTTCCTACTCCATAACTGATAAAATCATAGTTTTTGTAACTATGCTTAGAGGATTCTCAAGACTGATGCACTTATGATATCTGAAAACATTCGTCTAAACTGCCAAAATACCGGATGATCCTGAAGTGAATGGATATTTCCAAGATCGATAAGGTCAGTTTATCTGGAAATTACAATTTTCTATGTTCAATGTTAACAAGCGCAATCTTGCAGTTACATTTTTTTTAATTTGCAGGAATTTTGGTCACTATTCAAGAGAATCTAGCCTAGACCGAAAAATTGCATCCATTGTGAACACTAGCATCTGACGAAAAATTAGTTGTAACTTACAGCAGTCACAGGTATCTCATAAATGTCAAACCAGGAAGGCATCACAGCACCATCTGCAAAGAAAGAAAGCAAGCATCATACAGTGCAGACCCAGATGAAGCAGAGACTATATTCCAAGATGCGGCAATATGTTCCACTTTTTGAATGTATTGGATTTCACAGCCAGATTTTAGATGAATGCTTATTCGTCCAGTATCACCCAAATCAAAAAAAGAAGAAAATCATCCTTTTGATAAACCTCCCGACGGATCAAATAAGAAGGGTACCTCCAACAGCATAAACCCTAGACGCGAGAGCGCCCTAATTTTCCCACACCATCCCACAGGTGATACCCTCGACTAGTGATACCGCTCTCAAAAGTGATGGAATGGGATCGGAGTAGCCAACTACGTAGATCGACTTAGAATGGAAAGAAACCTTTTTTTTTTTTTTTTTCTGTTTTTTTACTTAAGAAAGAAAAAGAGATGCCATTTTCTTGGATCCAACACACAGCAAACCCGCAGGCGTATGGTGTAAATCATAAAGCAATCGAACCCATCCAAAACTACGAAGAAATTAGAGGAATAATCGAATGCAAAATTAATCTATTCATCTCATCTTCCATGACTTGATCTGATGAATCAGAACAAATGGATATCAAGAGAAGACGAAACCGAGAAGGGAGGAGATGTACAGTTGCAGGAGACGGGAGACTGAGGGGCGGAGGGGAAAGACCATTTGGTGAGCCTGAACTCGGGGGAGGAGAAGAAGGTGCGGATGGGCTCGTTGGCGGGGCCGGAGTCGCCCAACCCGTGCAGCCAGAGGACGAAGCTACGGGCCGCCATCGGATCCGATAACGGCAGCGGGGAAGAAGCTGGGCTCTGGCGGTGGAGGAAGGCTACAAAGAAGGTGACGGCGGTTATGGTGACGGCGGCGACGGCGAGAGGGCGCAAGAGGAGGGAGCTGAGGTTCATTATTTATGTACTTATACCATAAAACTCCATTTTTACCCAATTTTAATCTTCCGAGGTGGAAATGGGCCTTTTTTATTTTTATTTAAAATATATATATATATATATATATATATATATATATATATTACATCATGTGATTACTTATGCAATCATACACTAATCAATTCATATATAAAACTAATATTCGATTAATAGGATGAATATATATATATATATATATATATATATATATATATATATAATATTCTTATTAGAGTAAATTAAATTACATATAATTTAATCATATGAATTTTTTTTTTTACCATCGACCAATACAAAATTTTAAACCATATTTATAAATTCGCATTGGCTTAAAATACAAGGGATCGATGATGTATATATATATTTCAAATATGAAATAATATTTGATATTTTATTATAAATATTCAAAATAATCCCATTATATTTGGATAAATATTAACATTTCAACAACGTTTGTGGAAGCTCTCCGTCGTTCGTACATGGACATGTCTTCCATTTTGTCTCCCCAAGCGGACAAAGGAGGAAGGAGTAGCTGACATGCACAGCATGATCGAAACATGGGACTCGAGAGACCTTTCGTTCCCGATCTCTCTCCGTTTCACGCCGAGGCGGTCCACCAGAGGCAGAGCGAGGAGGAGAGGTGGGGGGGGGGGAAGAGGAGGAAAGCAAAGGGACCCCTCTCCTCTCCCCTCCTTTAATTCCCCTAACACGCTCTGGCTCGAACTTGATATCGATCCAAGTGGTCCTCTTTACAAAAGGTGTTGTGATTCATCATAATTGCTCACCTATATATTAAGCTAGAGAAAGCCATGGGTGGATGGCACCTCCTTAAAGAAGAAGATTCAGTGTCAGCGGTACAAAGAACACCATGAAAGGCGACAGTCCAAGTATCGATCATGAGGATGGAGAAAAGGTGCAAGCTGCATGCAAATGCTCCTTCCAGAGAAGCTACTTTAACCGCTCCCTTCCGATCAGTACTTATTTGCCTAATATTATTGCTTGCCGCTTCATATCAAGAAGACTGTAGTGGAGATTGTGAGCTACATGCATGCATGCATGCATACAACCTGAGCTCCAAGTCGGAGCTTCTCTTGACGTTTTCAGTATACATGATAAGATGCATACTGCACTTTTAGCATGCAGATGACACTCTTGTGTTATAATAATCGACATTGCAGATACCGAGGAAGCATGAGCCCTTTAAGGGTCATGTGCAGGAGACGGGGAAATCCGCGAAACAGTCTTTATGTTGGTGAGCGCAAAACATGGATGTTTCTTTGTCCACCACCTTAACCTTACACCATGTTAGAGAGAGAGAGAGAGAGAGAGGGAATGTGATCTCTGTATGGTGGATCTGGTTTCGGTGGGACCTCGAACTTGTTCCAGGGCGATTCTGTGTCCAAAGAGAAAAGAAGCAGCCCGAAGATGGGCTGTCCCCGGCGATGGTGTCATGGCAGAACCATTTTAACGCCGTTGTCGCCGCTCGTGGTTCGAAGGTCGAAGCATCGGATCGGATCGGAGTGGGAGATAGAGGAGAGAGAAATCTACTCCTCCTCCTTGTACCTGCTTTCTCGACCTTCTTTCCCGGCACACACATTCTGCGCACCTGCTCCCCAAGTCCACTAAATGTCACACCATCAAGATTCTTCTTCCTCTCTCTCTCTCTCGACTCCTCCGCTTCTTCTACCTCGGGAGGAGCGTCGACCAAATGGAGTACGTGAAAGAAAAGGAGTAGTTTGGTGTCCTCCCAGTGGGCATGCGCAAGTTTATAGCTCTGTACAAGAATACAATGATATATAGGGTGGGATCTGTTTGGTTTGGTTTGGAGTAGAACAGACCAAGCATGCTTGTCACCACTCCTCATGGTGGCACTGCTCGTTCCATCATTCCCCTCACCTTCCTCTTCCCATGCCTTCCTCCATTAATTGCTTCACGCCCTTCCCCTTCCTCCGACCCATCCGAGCCTCCTCTTTGTATATATTCACACCCACTTGTATCTCATGTCTGTCTCCTCGTTGGTTGGTGACCTAATGTAACCCGGCCAATATATTTGACTGCTCATATCCATGAAGAGGAAGCTAGAAAACTCATTGGCCATCCTCAGAAAGCATCGATCACAGGTGCTTCCACATCCTTCATGTGGTTGGTTCTCCGAGAACAAGGTATAAATGCCCACCACCGACGAGGTTATCGGATTTCATGAGGCCGGCTCACAGGTATTCGACCTTAGTAGATGAAGGAAGCGATATTGGTGAGGTTCAATCCGATGATCGGCTTACGAAACGACCGTAAGCCCTTCTCGGATTGAGCCGCGCCAATATCACTTCGTCTTCTTTGTTCCTACTAGCGATTCTTGTTTTCCCTACAGATCTTTTCTTTTTCATCTCAACGATCACATGGTTTTCAACTGCAATGATGCATCGATCCATTTCTCAGTCCATTGTTGCGTGTGACGAACAAGAATTCGTCTGCGTTTCCTATATTAATTAGCTATTGCAGGTTAGACTTCTCCTGAGGTTTTGGTCTGACAGAAGGTAGCCTTTCGTTTCTTTTCCGGCAATAGCATTGAGATGAAACCTTTGATGTATGTACTAGCAACTATCTCCATATCATCTTGTTTCATTCTTGTATTTCGGTGGCTATCAGAAGATCAAATTCGTTTGACCTCACCAATATTTTGTTTCTATTTTCTGGATCTCGACGCTCCTTCCTTTTCGCTTGTTTTCTCGAGGACAAGGAGGGAAAGCTGCATCTGACATAACTCCTACAAGAACGCATTATGAGAAGAATTGCTCGTGAAGCAAACAGCCCGTAGACGAAACCCATCCATGAGAGCATCGAAGGAGATAGATGTACGTATGAGGTTTCATGGAGGCTGGCATTTTACGTCTCATAGGGTGAGAGTTTTACATATTTAGGTGATAAGAGACAAGAAAGTTACCTTTATGATGCAACTTCCATTGTGAATCAAGCTTGCTCCTCTTGATCATACATCTTTAGAGACCATCTATATAGGGCATCGATTAGGCTACGCTACATGTTATCATTTCGATGAATGCATGTCACAGTGCTGTTCCAGTACTAATCCATCTGTGATCATGTCGATTAACATAGGTGGAGCTGAAAGGCTCCTCCAAGTGAAGGAAAGAAGAGAGCTTTGTTAATGAAACCCTAAATTGACTGTCTCCATGTTTCACCATCAATCAAAGCATGAGTTCTTCCCTGTCTTTTTGCTGGAAATGTCCCCATGTCGCTGAACTCGTAGTTGCAGTTTACTGGTCGGGGCAGCTGGTATTCTCCTGCCATCCTGTTCTCTAGAGAGGCTCTTGCATTACAGTAGTATGCATCTTATTCCACCTTAATAAATTTCTTCTATCATCTTCGACCATGGATGTGAAACTCCTAACAGAATGATGTAGATTCCTCATGTCTGGCTATATTATTTAGAACATGCTGAAGAATATTTCTTTTCCTTCTGTTCTTGTCTTCCATATTGTTATGTTTATGTTATTCATTTTGTCACTTGCTGGAACTTTCTAATGAGTTTTGGACTGTCTCCATTAAGCCATGTAATCATGTTTGATGTGATGACTGTTCCTGAACATTTACCTTAACATTGTGAAAAGGAAAAATGGATGTGGATCATCCTCGCATTGTGATAGAAAGTGTGATCTGATTCTTGTTCTGGGGCATTAAAATTTGTTGTAGGAGCCAAGACAAGTACAAGTTGGTCTCATCTCTTTGATTCACTCCTTCAGGTAATTAGGACTGTCAAAAGAGTTGATCGGAACAATCAGAAGATATGTTTCATGATTATATCCAAAACAAGTTGCAACAAAATTGAATCATTTGCACTAATAAATCATCTGAGATTACTGTGCTCAGGAAAACCAAATCTCTAGAGTTGCAAAAACTCTGCTCGCATCCTTGTTAGCAAAACTACTTCGAAGTGATTTCATTTGCTGAATTACCAGTGTCACTTCGATCCAACTTTGGGTGATTCTGCTAAGTTTGGAACGAATCTGCACCATGATTTTGTAATGTCCTCAGTCTGGAGTAGGAAAACCATCCACGAAATAGATGACCGAACTTGAATTCTGTACATCTGATCTGGTTATCATTATCGTCAAGAGCATATTGTACATCCACATACTCAGTAGAACCAACTCCGTTATGATCCCTATCCTTGTCGTTCTCCTCAACTTCATCATGAACTTTTGACCCTGTAAATGACCTTTGGAAAAAGAAAAGAAATGGAATTTTAAGATTCAGCAAAGAGCTCCGTCGAATGACTCACTGTATCCATCTCTGGATACTTCCTAACAAATGAAGGTATACATTAAGGTTTGTAAAGCCAACAATCTTAATGAACATGGAAAAGAATAGTGAGGACCTTACATTCTATGTTGCTCCATATCAGTTCCATGATTTATCGGTCTTCTTCCCTTGCTTGGTCTGTGGTCGAAAGAAAGATGCCTAATAAAATGAAGCTGCATCGAAAGAAGAAACGAACATTTGCTCATGTCAAAGAAAAAAAACTAAGCCTGCAAATTGCATAAAATTATCAGGAGAGCTGGAAGAGGCAGCAGGCACAACTACAATATTTGGATCATGGGATAGAAAAGAGAACAAGCTGAGGCTGGAAACAATTTCATGATGCTTAAGACCATAAAACAACAAGCTGATACTAAATGCAGACTGTTCATATAACAAAAGACATTCATGTTGACATCAAATCATCCAGTACTGGCCCAGCATTTGTAGGTCTATGTTAGTTGCCACCAATAACTTGTATCTGCAATGAAGTCCGAGTGCACAAGTGTGACACCTCAGAATCATCTGATATAACCGATCATACAAAATTTTCATAGATAGTTCAAAATGTCATTAATTAAGATAGATTAGACAAAGTGATATGCGATGACACTTTTCGCTCGACAGATAAAAGAACAAGATGTTTCATATAGGAAAATATGTGTAAAAAGAAACAGGATAACACTCTCCTTCCAGAAACTTTTTTTGATTTAGTGGTAACTCATGGCAGTCCAACTAACACATCAAAACTGCCTTTAAGTTTATTCATCGCATGTACACTCTAAACATATGGCTTCAATTTCTTATAAAACTTGATAGTTGACAAAATCATAATTCTATTACTATGAGAAGCAGATATATCACAATTATCATTGCATATGTGTATAATCATTTAATGTAGGAGCATTGTTTTCTTCAATTGCAGATATACATGTGTGATAAGGACCAAAAAAGGATGTACAAGTTCCCATAGGCCTAAGTTGCAGGATATTCTTCAACCAATTTATATCAAAGAACTCCTTTGTGCTTCACTGGCATCCTCATGTATACGCAAGAATAGAAATACAAACTGGACAGAAAAGGTCATCAACTCTCTTATAATCTTTTAAGAATGCAAGATCACTTCTGTCATACTCAACAATCTTACTCAAGAAATTTCTAAGGTCACTGGTCAACTGGAACTTTGAACTTACATGAATCCAAATAGTCCACATCAAATTATATCAAGGGCAAGGGGTGATGTCGCAATCTACAAAGGCGACATTAATGAAGCAGGGCATGGAATGAACAGTGCTTATAAACGAATGCGATTGCAAGGAGGTGATGCACGCGAGGTTACATCTCATGATCAGATATATTCGGCATCTGGGTTTTGAACCAGCAGTACAAGAATGCATCATCAACCAAAAAAAGCATCGAAGAGGACTTGAATCAAAGTTTTAAGTCTAGAATGAGGCAAAATTTCTCATCCGCATCAAATTACTGAATTACAAGGCTTATATTGCTGACCTGATCTCCATCTTTGATCCCAAAGTTCCGTAGATACGATTTATCATCCGTTAATCTATGTTCGTTGTAGCATAAGCAGAAATGACCCCATACGTGAGACCTGTTAAAGGCACAACATCGATACAAGGAAAAAGGAAATCGAGAGGAGCCCTCGTCTATAAAATTATAGCCCTAAATGTGAACCGGCACAGCATATATTAACATAAAAGAACAATCTTTGAGAGTAGAGAGGAATCTTGTGGCATTCATCACAAAGAGAGAACATTTGTGTGCACATGTTTATTCCAAGTCTTATAGCGAAAGCGAGGAACAAAGCCAATCGGTCATACCAAGAAGTAGTTGCATCTTTGGAAGGCCGACTGAAGAGGCATTCGACGGCTTCCTTGAGCTCCCGCACGCGAGCGGTCCTCGCGACTTGCGCATCTGCCCGGGAATCGATAGGCAAGTTAACCAAATTAACCAACGCGTCAGAGGAGAAGGGGTTTACGAGAACGGAATGGCTACCGAAGGAGGAGCCGTCTAATTTGAGGACGGAGAGGCGGAGGAGCGGGTCAGCGGGGAGGCGGAAATAGGAGAAGCTGCCGTCTGCGAAGGGGGAAGCGGCGTCGAGGTGGAGGGCGGACGCGGAAGGCTGCAACAGCCTCACGCGGCGTCGCTTGGCATCGCACACCATACGCCGCCGCCGCCGCCGCCTTGTGTTCCTCGCTTTCACCTCCTCGTCGTCGCCGGCAGCGCTCTGTCTCGGTGGTGTCCCTCTCGTGGGCGTAGCCACTGACGACGGACGATGGGATTGTCAACGATGATGAGTGTGGGTACGGGAAGAAAGGAAAGAGAGCTAAGTATTCGATGAGAAGCATGCGTGGTCTTTAGAGACCGGTAGGGTTGTTCGGGGCGGAACAGAAGAGAGGAAATGAAGACAAAGAGAGCAAGCGAGAGAGCGAGAGAGAGAGAGAGAGATGATGGCCGTTGGAGAGGGGAAAGCGCTTCGAAATCGGGCGGGCGGATTTACTACGGGAAGATTATAATATATATATTTGGTAATAAATAAATACATAAATAAATAGAGGAGAATGTTTGCGGAGGTAACGGCTATATGTTGGGTTGGGTTGGGTTGGTTTGGACGGGTTTGGATTTGGATTTTTTGGATTCGGGTGTATGACACTAGGAAAATAAATATAGGATAAACTACCAAAGCTCTACAGGACATTAAGGTTTTCCTTCTTTTACTGAAGAAGCATGCAAAAGCCTTTTGAAGACCAAATATTTTGATGATACGATTTCGTCGACTGCTGCTATGTCTTTTTCTCATGAGGCTCTTCATCATTCTTTCATTCTTTCATTCATTCATTCATTCATAAGCAGATGCCGATCGATCGAACTCCAAACTTCTTTGCATGGTTACAAATAATGAGTACAAAACAATGGTTGTCGATCAGAGTTAAAGAATCAAACTCGATCTTAATTCCAAAGGTAAACAACATTAATGGATCCAAAGCAGACTAATTACATGCATGGGAGCAATATTAATCGAACTAAACTATCAGTCAGTGCCCCGGACCTTTGGCGCTCGGCCCTGACTTGGCTTTTGCAAGCATCAGAGCCGGAAAGGACGGTGAAGCAAAGCCCTGCCCGTGGATAGGCCTCGATCCTTGTACCACATGCAGGTAAGAGAGTGCAACGAAGAACATGATGACGATGATGGCCACACGGCATCCTCGTGGACTAATAATTATCGCCATGCCCACAAACTTCTTCGGCAGAAGGAATGGATGTTTGTGCTCTGCAGGGAGGGACGAGTCTAAGAAGCTTTATAGCAATCGTAGCGGGCGCCGACTCCAAGAGATCCATTTGCTGGACTCTGCAAGGTTTGAAAAGGTGCCAGCATGGGGGTTGACAAAAGGGAGGGTGGGTTTCGGCCGGCCGGTGCTCTCTTCCTCAAGATCTTCTCTCTTTGACTCAACTTCTCGCCGTTCTGCTGCTGTTCATATTCTCCGGTTTTGTGTCAATTGCAAGTTCGATTCACACGAAAGCATGCGCATGAGCACGGAGCAGATCTCTTCGTTCTAACAGTAGGTCACCATGGATGCAGGCGAGGGCGAAGGAGACTGCCGAGGCCAGCGGCTTGGCCCGGTGTGCCGACAACTGGTTCATGGACGGACACGTGCAGTGGTAGGTCGCGGTGACAGCAAGGAGAACAGCAAAGGTGTAGGATGTCAATACTCGGGAGTTGGTGGAGAAATATTTCGAAGCAAGCGTTCATATATCCTCCACACTTGGATTCGTACGTATGCCTGATATCTAAACATGCATGCGTCGGTACATCAAGGACGACTTCGTATGTTTGATCCAGCTCGATTCCAGCTTCTTCACCATTCCACCACCAAAAGAAACTAATGATAAATACTGTAATTGGCTATTAAATCTTGATAATTGTTTTCGAGGGACTTGACACGCACGCCATGCAGACGTGGATCAGCTGGCTCATCGCATCTACGGGACTACGAGCGAGGAGGAGGAGAATTCAGACACGAGGGGCTGGAAGCAAGAGATTGGACTCGTCTGCACAATCCAACTTGTCGGTGTACCAGAATCTAAGTTGTCAGCTTGTCGGACGGAGCCGAGGAAATCTTGGCTTTCTTCTTTTCTTCGTTTGCACGGCGTCTCTGACTTCCACAATTCAACATTTGAATGTTTGAATAAGCCGATAGAGTGTCGCCCGTGACTTGCTTCCTTTCGGTGATGAGGTCCGGTAGTACTGGATCCATTTTGTCTGTCGTGTGCTACGTGATGGAAGTCAGCGTGAGTGATCTTAATATCATTTCGTTCGTGAATCGATTTGCTTTTTTCGGAAACAGACATAGGACCCCTCGCCACAGAGGTTGGCACGAATATACCAGGTTGCATTAGTCCAAAGGATGCACAGAAATATATGTATGAATATAGCAGATGCTACACTTAACAATTTCCTTGAACAGTCTGAATCAGTGTAAATATTGCTAGATTTTATCTGGTATGAGCAAGGAAGCTTAGAGATGTGACCACATGCATCGCCTGAAACTGAGAAGATTGACACCATCTTATAAAAAGTATATGTTAACAAGGTGATACAAGCCTCAACATATTCGTGTCACAAAAGAAGTTGATACGCACACCATATAATTATCTCTGGCGACGGGAGAAAAAGAAGATTGCTAGAGTTGTGATCTCATCCCGCTTCCATGTACATCACCCAAGATCATTATTGTTGTTTTTCTCACTAAATCTAACCCTACCTTAACATGTAAAAAAGGATTAGTTGATGACATCCAGCACCAGCTTGCGGGACTTGACAACGGACCACTTCAAGCGCCGGTAATAAGCAGCTTGGAGCAGAGCGAGAGACAGTACAAATATCCATTTGAATCCCATCTACCAAAACAAAGAAAACTAGAGATCAACGGATATCATAAATATCATGAAGTCAAGTCTAGGTGGGTTGCAAGGTTACCAGCTTCCTTTCTTCCATCTCGGGCTCTGCTGCCCATGACAAAAATGTAACAACATCCTTCCCCATCTGTAATAACACCGGTGGAGACCCATAAGTTACGTCCAACAAAGATACGGAGAAGATTACATAGAATGTTACAGCAGAAACTATCGGAAAGCATACCTGTGCCTCTGTGGCAGGAGTACCATCTTCATATTCAATGGCACCATCAATAAGCATTTTGGGCATAGCTATTGCACCACCAGGAAAGTATGGATTATAGTGCAGTCCATCTCGAATCTGCATTTCCAATTATATCAACAAAATAAATGAGAAATTTCAACAAAATCACAAACTTATGCAGATTAGCACAAGCACATTAAGCAAAGGAAATACAAGATTGTGTCAAATAATAACTTGTGCACGGTGACATATTATGTCACGTACATCGTGAAATTGCTGGATTAGCTTTTTTCTAGAAGCAATGGCAACTTGTAAGAACAAAGAAGTGACATTTTTTGCTTCTGGAAGTTAAACTAAAGTTGCTATTTCAATGCATCACTAGATTCATATTCTCAGAATGCGCCTCCATGACCATATAGGAATTCTACAGCACAAATAAAGTCAATTGATGCTCGGGAAATACACTGTCAGATTGAGCCTAGAGCAAACAATATCAAATGCTTGTCCAACTAAAAGTTACTTTATAACCATTACTTCTCGTCTTCTCGTATCTGTTAATTATCTTGTTGTGTATATATGAGATGTACCTTAGTACATGATAGAAGCTGTTGCCAGCAATTACAACATTACATGAATGTTGACTGTTAATCTCACAGGAAAGCACAGACAACTTTGTACAGTTTTTTGGAATCTTACCGAAACACCAGCAGGAGGATCACGGTAGCCAGTGAGAAGAGCAAACACGTAATTTTGGCCATTGTGTCGTGCCTGGAAAAGAATAAGGAAAAGGAAAGAATTTGATGTCTGTCATGGACAACAAATGTTATAAAAAACCAAAATTCACATGCAGTAGTTTTACCTTGGTAATCAGGCTAAGGTCCGGAGGATATGCCCCTCCATTTGCAAATCTGGCTGCTTGTTCATTTGGATATGGCTGAGGAAAACGGTCGCTTACTTTACCAGGACGAGTGAACATTTCACCTTCATCATTGGGACCATCAACCACCTCAATCTCAGCAGCCATTGCTTTTGTCTCCTCCTCGGTATAAGCCACACCGACAAGATCTCGATATGAAATCAGAGACATAGAATGGCAAGAAGCACAAACTTGTTGATAAACTTGGTGGCCACGACGAATTCTGATCAAATCATTGAATGTGACTCAATGTAAAGGAGTCATAAAAGCTGTACTAGCTACATTGGTAAAATTTGTATCTAAACAATGACGTTGATTATGATGAACTTAACTAAATTGGCACCAGATTTTACTTAAAGAATCATTTAAATTAATAAACTGAAGCTGATTGCAACATTCTTTTACTCACGATGCATGATCATAAGAACTGAGAATGCCTTTGTGAGGCCATGGATAGCTGGGAGCTGGTAAGCCATGTTCTGCTTCGTCCGCAGATGTTACGGTAGCAAAGCTCAGAATACCAGAAATACCAGCTCCAATTAGTGCGAAGACTTTTAGTGACTTAATACCAGCATCCTCCTGCCTTACGGATGAAACCAATGATGGTGCCTGCACCTAAAAGAATTGAACAGAAACAGCATAACTTTTCAAATCAAAGAAAGAAAATTCAGTGAACCCCCGCATATCAAATTCACAGGCAGAACATCAAAGGATATGATATCTTAGTAAGGAATATATATATATTCTCCAAATGCAGGTACTTGCTTAATAATTCCTAAGACATATGTATTTTAAATACTCATCCTTTTGTTGAGAAAGGTGATAAATTATGACATTCCATACGTGACCGATGCCTTAACAATAACAAAATTTGAATTTCAGTGAGCCCTAGAACAGCTTAACAGCCTCATTTTTTCCATGATTTTACCCTACAATTTTTGCTGGATATGAGGCCTCTGGTCAGAAAGACCAAGCAGATAATTTTCATATGCAACGAAGACTTACCACAGAAAAATGAAATGATAGCATCTTTCACATGAAAGGGATATATAATTGGCTATATCGGAAAGGCACACATAACCCAGTGAACAAATTCACCGAGGCAAACCCTACAAGCTCAGCCAAATATTCCTACCAGCACATGAAGATCCCCCCATATGTTCCTTACATGAAAGATGAAGAACTCTCGGTCGATAAGCACTTTTCTTCCAGCATAACATTTCAAATAAAGTCAAACAAACTGAACTAACAAAGCAAGCTAGCCCACTCAATCCACAACAACAAAAACAAAACTTGGCTGCCAGCCTTCTACCTTTCTCCCATTCAAGTTCTGCTTATCTGGAGCTTGGAGTGGTTTGAGAAGTACTTGACAAGGAGAGAAGAATAAAAACAATAAATTTTTGTTTCAAATTCTCTAATTAATTATGACATATATTGTTAAGTAATTGCCCATTATTATAAAAAAAATGTCTTATAATTGCATCTAGTGAAACCAGTATTATAAAATGGGATCAATACCGGGATCAACTTAGGATCTGTGACTGGGATCAGGATCAAGATGGTGAAATCAGACATATCAGATTTAATGATGCCAAAAAGTGACTTACAAATTTAAAGAACATAGATCACATATTTTTCCTACACAAAAATCTTATAGAGATAGATAGCTTTCGAAAAGAATGATATCAGAAGTACCATAACTATTGAAAAAAAAAATGTAGTCTCTACTAGTACCATAGCTATTGAACCATCATATAAACTCAAAAGACTTATATTCAGAAGAAACCGCATTGGTATGGTTGTGATAATTGGAGTGAGCATATGTAAAAGAAGCTGAGAAATAGAATGTATCTACCTCTTGGATAAAGCAAAGACCTGAAACTTACACTCAAGGGCATAAGAGGATAAGCCAGGAGTAGCAGTCCATCGAGTTTTTGTAATCTAATTAAAACTGGACAATTTGTTATACAAAATCAGAAAACACTACAAGACATTAAAAAGTAGGATTTCATATATGTGCCGCCTTAAAGATGAACAAAAGGAAAGGAGCGAACAATGGTATCGCATCCAACAGCAGTTGCTTGTCTTATGCAACAACATTTTGAAGACCTAAAACATAAAATGAAAGGAACGTACAATCATCTTGTTTGCCAGACAAAAACAAATTGTCATATGCGAATCTTATACACATACAGATCTACATGTTTAACCTGAGAATGAGATGAAACCTTTATTTTTTTTGTCATTAGATGGTGAATTGCCATAAATCATGACGATTTGCTAACCTAAAACATATACCTCGTCATCAACTAAAAAAAAGGAAAGAGAAAAATCATTACCGATGATTGGAACCGAAAGCCCTTCCTCAGAAGCCGGTTGATGACTCTTCCAGCGGCCATCGAGTTGAATCTTCACCAAAATGTTTCTAATCATCGCCATGATTTTGAACAGCGGGAAGCAGAAATCAGATATCCAGAACAACTAGTTACAAGCAGATAAACTGAAAGATGGAAGGCGAACGCAATATCAAACAAAAGGACATTTCTTCAGAGTTCACTGGTAGCAATAAATGAAGGGTCAAGTTACGCAGTAAACAGAACCAAAAGTAGTTAGAGAGATGCATTAAACTTGTCGTATCAAAAACAAGTTACAGGAAATGCCAATTTCTTGATTAGGAACGAAAGTAGGCCAGAAATAAGATGTCTTTCCTCCGATTCAGATGTCGTCTGCTGTGATCCGACATCATAAAGGCCAGACACGGCAGAAATAAGTGGGAGTAATGCACAATTAGATCCTTCGATTCACCAAAAGAAGGGAAAGAAATCGTGGATTAAAATTTAAATGCTAGCGACGGCCAATACGAATCGAATCGCAGGTATCGTAGGAGGGCCAGACAGATGGGGGACCTTCGACCCAGAAGAAGAGCGGAATCCTCATGATCCTAAGTAGATACGGGAGGCCTTGGACCACGAGACGGAGATCAAAACAAGAAAAGGCGATCAAGGAGAGGAGGAAGCGAAACCTGGCGAAGCTGCGGGAGAATACGCCGGAAATCTACACAATGATCCTTTCTTTGCGTAGCTTCTCCTTGTACTGCCGCAGACGAATCTCTCTCGCCCTCTCCGAGTGTGTTAGTGTGTGGCGGAATGGGGCGAAGCGTCAGCCGCAGCTTAATTCGGATTTATGTGATTCTGATTAATTCGCAAAATTAAGGTATTTATTCTTATTCTAATTCTTATATATATATATATATATTCATCCGAAAAACTCGATATTAATGATGTCCAGAGTTTAAGCTAATTGCCAAATGATAATTAGTTAATTAGAGTGATATAAATAGAAAGTCGCTACTTACGTGGGTTTGCAATCCAAATTAATCTTAAGGAATCAAGCAAGGATTAACGATTCCTTTAATAAGATTGACTAAGGGTGGAAGAGAGATTACAACAATCGACTCATGGAATGGAGAGATCCTCTACTCAAATCACAAAGCCACCTCTTGCAGGAAAGGAGGGGGAGATGAATGAATCAACTTATCTCCATCAATGTCGTCGTCTTGATCCTCTATCTCTCAAAGAAGCCCTCAAGCAAGCAAGCAAGCAGTGAAAGTAGCATGGTTGGCTATCGTAAGCAAATGTTCCAACTCTTTTGAGAGCCAATGAGTAGTAGAGATTGGTAAGTGATTATGGTACTTGAGACGATATCGCACGGCGTCGGACACCGCAAGGTCGTTCCACAAAATGTGGGATGGAACAGCACAGCATCGACCCATACGGGATGACCGACGCTCGTCTATAGGGTACAAGACATCATTTCGATAAATCGTTAGTCATTAAAGGACCACGTATGATCGATCACCCCCTTCGAAAGTATAAAAGTCAACCTTTTGACTAATGAGATTATGGTACTTGATATTATTTTCACTGGTTTAAATGAACCAATACTCAGTGGTAATAATGCTACATATAAGATCAATGGATTATTTATTAAGATCAGCATACAACCAAGTGTCAATTATATAATAGTTTGAAATGGTTAGAAGATTTGGTTAATATTCCGAAACGATAGAGTAACATCGTAACAAAAGAAAAAGTTGATATGACATATTTTAGCATCATCCACGTGATAGACAAAGGACCTCTAGGTTGACGTAAAGCGACACCTCAAACCCGAACAAGATGATCACACGACCTCCGCATTGTTCGGCACTGTACAAGTCGACGTCGGACACCACGGAGCCATTCGGTAAAACTCAAGATAGCATCACACGATGTCGACCCATACGAGATGGTCGCGCACTCGTCTATAGGGTATAAATCATCCTCTCGATCGACCACTCCTTCATAGGTATAATAGTCAACCCTATGACAAATGAGAGGGGACTTCTTCGAACACTTAACTCTTTTTTATTTTGCTCAACTCTTGCTTAAGCTTCGAAGGGGGTCGAGTCAAAAAATCCCCCTCCCGATCTCGACTTGAGTGCAGGAGCTCGACGACGAAGAAACAGGCGACGAGACTCACGACTCAATTCGGCCGACGCTCACTTTAGTCACCCGAGTCTCCGCGTGGATAATATTGCACATCAAGGATTAGATCGAACCATGCTGACTCATCGCCTACGACGTAAAGGTTCACCAACAAAAGTAAGATACTGAGTTAAGATTAATAATAATTAATCTGATAGTGAATGATGCTAGAAAGGCATCAACAGATAGGGAGACAATCGTAAAGAAACTTCTAAACGAAAAATCTTGATTTTAAAAATCATATTTAATTACAAAACCGTCTTCCAACCCGTCAAATCTCCTACTTACTTTCTTGAGCAACACTACTTACCAAAGTGCTTCCAAAAGAGTGCAATGTAAGAAATAAAAAAGGTTATAATTTCCTCAAGTAGTCTTCGAGATTTCGATTTCGATTTCGATTTCGATTTCGATTTCGATCGTCCCCATAGATTAGAGGGTCATATTTAAAAATAAAAATTTTAACCCATAATTTTATTAAGAATCATAACAAGTTTTTTTAATAATTTAGCAATCTCATAGTCTTTCGTACCAAATCACTATGCTAATGATAAAGACGATCTCTATTATTATTATTATTATTATTATTATTATTATTATTATTATTATTATTATTATTATTATTATTATTATTATTATTATTATATCATGAGTCATCAGGTAAAATTAAAATAATTCTCACCATAAAAATATTGACCACGCCAACCTAAGGAACAATAATGAAGAAATTGGAAGTCAACTAACTAGAATTATTTAGTACGCAAAAGTAGGTAACTTGCGAATCAAAACAATCACATGTTAAATCATATATATATATATATATAATAATAATAATAATAATAATAATAATAATAATAATAATAATAATAATAATAATAATAATAATAATAATAATAATAATAATAATAATGATAAATTCCTAATAATTATTGTTTCCCAACAGATCCGAATCTTAATCCTCGCAAGAGAAGACCATCCATGAGTTATTCCGGATCAGTTTTGGGTTGGATCCACCTCGGATTTTAGTAAATCCAAATTAAGGTTCATAGTAACCTACATTTTGAGCTAAACTTCCATCAATTACCGGATCTAAAATTCAAATCGGATCCCATTAAAATCATCCATTCAGAATATCAACTTAATTTAATATTCAATTTTGGCACCCTTTTTTTCCCCCTAATATTCCCAACAAATATCAACCCTCGACGCGGAACCTCTTATCCGTCCTTCCTTCTCCCAATTAGTCGTCGTGCGTTCCATTCGACTCACCAAAACCACCACAGAGGCAACGGTGGGTCCGAGCTCACCACTCTGTCCAGTCACAAGACAGGTGGATTGGCGGGTAACATGTTCACCGTTCGTTGCGCTCGAATTCGTCCACCGACCGCTGGGGTCGATCGAGCATCCGCTTACCTCCGGTGAACGTAACCCCCCATCCCAGAGATCTTTTTCCCCCTCGATTCTTCCTTTCTTCAGGCCGCGGACCGAGGAAGCCGACCGCTACTTCGGGGAACTCTCGTCGCCTGCCACCGGCCATCCCAACATGAGGAGAGCGCCATCGTCTGGCGCTGATTTCGTTGCTCTCCTCCTCCTCCTCCTCCTCCTCCTCTTCCTTTTTGGCAGGGTCCGCTGCTCCCCCGAGTACAGCCTTGGCCGGAGTTCTTCGCCCGCGACCGACAGCCTTTGCGCTCTGCTAATCCGACCGTCCGGCTACCCCTGTTCCGAACACATCGTACCGCTTTCTCCCCCTATTCCTCTTTGATTTAGGAAGAATTTTCCATTTTGGTGCATGTCTGCTTCTCGATCGAAGTTCCAGCATTAAATTTCGTTACTTACCGTAGAAAAATTGTTTCTCAAGAACCAGAGTGCGAAGATTTTGGAGGTTATGGAGTAACGAAGCACCAAATACCGGATGAGGGAATCATAGCTCTTATTTCATTCTTGAGAAAATTCCAGTGCATGTATGTTTGTTGATCGATCGGTTCGTTTGGTAGTGTGATGTTTGATCGTATCACTATAAGCTGAACATTAACTAAAGTGCCTTTAGCATAAGAAATGAATGCTAGTTGGCTACTTTCTTATGGTCATTTCACAATCTGGAAAGTGCCTTTAGCGTTGCACCTCTATGTAGTAGAAGAGTTGAGATATAAGTGACATGACTTGCCGAAGATTCATGGACTTGGGAAGTCGTATGGTAACTCAAAGGAGTAAAAGAAGGAAGCACTCCTTGGCTAAGATTGAGTGGTTATTTTATAGGTAAACTTACTTTTGAGGAATTCGGAGACTGGATTCATATGAGAGGATTTTGTCTTAAGATGAGGACCAAGAACTGCTTAGCTGCACGTGCAAGGAGTAACCATGACCTCCTCGACATTTTGTATGCTGCTGTTTAGTTCATCATACTACTTCTTTTGTTTCAGAAAAAACGAAAAACATGAGGACCAAGTTCATCAAGTGAGAAACAAAATGTATGATGCTCAAATCTTCATATTACTTCGTGTACAATTGAGCCGAATAGTGGGAAAAGTTCAAACAGTTGGGTGCAAAGATTTGTTGGTTACATGAGCACAAAGCAGCTTACTTGTAAATAGAGCATAGTTGTTAAACTGAATGTCGATGTCAGAACCCAACAGGTTTTGCCAAGGTAGAACCAAAGGGCTGTTTCATGATAAATCCTAAACATCAGTGTGCTCCCTTAAAAGGGTCTTCTCTTTAACTATCGGTGATATCATAAAGTTACTCAGAAAAACATCTAGAATTTGCTAAAACTGACTGCCCAGGACATTTGTATCAATGTTACTCTGAAAATGTAAGATGTATCTAATCTGCAAGTATTTACCATGTTATCTCTGCCTGCATAATTATGGTGAAATTACTATACTGAGTTATAATGTGTTGTCTGTAACCGATATAAGCTAACAGTTTACTGATTTTGTTAGTTACTCGTTCTCATTCAGGTTTTTCTTGAATAATTGTATAAGCTCACCGCTGTTGCACCTGTGATGATCATAATCTATGTCGTGCAACCATAAATATTGTTAGAAAGACATCTAGAAGCTAGCAAGAGTGTATAATAAATACATTTATATCAATTGAATGGTGAAAAGTTTAAGATACATCTTGTGTGTATAACTAGATTTAATAATTACAGGACATGCGTCTTTGTCTTCCCATGTCTCTCCTTAATAACTTGCACAATTATGATGGGAATTACCTAGTTGACTTGTATCCTATTAGCATGTTGCCCCTTGCTGATGTAAGCTGACCATTCACCAGTTTGTTGAGTTAGTGACTCTCAGTCTGATTTACTTAAAACAATTGTGTAAGCACAAGTCTTCTGAGGTGAAGGCAAAGGCAGTCCTACCTGTCTCTGCCTTGATTCTTCCATTACATTCACATGACATTTTATACTGCAGCTTAGCTGATATTGTTTTATATCAAGATATTATTTCTGACATTATGGTCTAACCAACGCTGAGGCTTCTTGTCCTTTTCTGAAACACAATTCCAAGTGCTAATTGGCAAGTGAAAATTGCAGGTTGAGACTAAAGATGGCTACCTTTTAACTATTCAACGAATTCCACACGGGAGAAAAGCTTTAAAAGGAAAACCTGGTCCCCCGGTTTTCCTTCAGCATGGTCTTTTT